AGTTCATACTGGCACAGATGGCATTGGGCAGGAGGGGCACTGAGACAGAATCACCACTGGTGAACTCGGGTGGGTACTGGGGAATGGCAGACTGTCCTAGGAGTGAAAGGAGTTTTGTGTGTGTGTGTTTGTGGGTTTTGGGTGGGAGGGTTGTTTGGTTTTTTTTGGTTGGCTTGTTGATTGGTTTGGGGTGTTTTTTTGGGGGGGTGATGTGTGTTTGGTTGTGGGTTTTTTTGTTGTTGTTTTTTGTTTTGGTTTGAGTTTTTTGTCTGGACAAAAGCATCAAAACACACCAGCAAGAAGTGGTGTCATATGTGGCATCACTGCTCTTTGAGACCACAGGGAGGACAGCAGTGAGACCAAGCTGTGCCCATCAGAGCCTGAAGTGTGGTGCCTGGAGCAGTGGATGGATATTTTCACCTTCCTTGATGTGCTCCCAGTGGCACCTCACATTCCCAGCCTTGAGAATCCTGAGAAATGACCTCAATCCTGCAGTGAAAGAACATTCTGAATTTTGGATAAACTGAGACAGGATTTGAGAGAAGGTGAGATACAGAAAAATGCCACCAAGGTGATGAAGAGATGAGTATCTGACATGCAAGAGGCTGAAGGACTGGGAGGTGGCATCTTAATTAACCAGTGTGCATACATACTTGGTGGGAGGGAGTAAAACATTACAGGGCCAGACTGATCTGGGAGGTATCCAGTGAGAAAAGAGGCATCAGGCACAAATTAAAATAGAAAAATTGCTTACAGACATAAGAAAAAGCTTTTTCTACATGAGGGTGGTCAAACACTGGAACAGGTTGTCCTTAGTGGTGGTAGACTGTTGATCATTGGAGAGACTCAAGACACCACTGGGAAAGGCCCTGACCAATCTACTCAGGTTTGAACGAGGGCTTGGACTGGAGGATCTCCAAAAGTCCCTTTAATGTCCATAATTCCATGCTCCAAGTCGGTATTGGCCTCTCTGACATCAAACCCTGGCAGGGAACCTCACCACCCACCTTCTAAACAAGTGAAAAGCATGGAACCGTTCTCATTTATTTAGGACAACTATTTGTATTTACTTAGGAACTGACCACAGTGTTGGAGGGAGAAGTTGGCTTTAAATCTTTTTTTTTTAATCACCCCAAGAATTCTTGTGAAGCACTTGCAGTTTGTTCTGATAGCATCTGCTGTGTCAGAAAATAAAGACTTGTTGCTGTTTGAAATTAAATTTAGCATAAATAGTAAACTACTGAACTGCCAGTTGCAATTGGCCAAACACTGTTATGCACAAGAAATTCACCTCATCTTGTTTCTAAGTGCAGCCAGTTTTGTAAGGAACACAGCTTTAACAAAGATATCTGTTTAATTTCTCCATAGTTTTTCACACAAGGTAATAAACAGTCAAGCAGCTAATTGCACCTGCAGGTTTTTTAACTTATTTTCCACTTCCTTCTTCTTCTGAAGAGCAAGTGGTTTGTCCACATCTGCAGTGTTAGCACATTCTTTTGCTTCTTTGGCCTCTTTTTCCTGTGCATCACATGCCTGGAAGAAAGACCTCCAGGATACAAAAAATATTTTTTTTTTAATTAATAACAGAAAAGCAAATTCAAAGGCTTTAAATATGCAGATAATATCTAATTTTAGACATAATAATGCATTTACTGTCAATTTAAATCTTCTCTCTACTTATCCTACCTTCTAATTAACAACTCTTCTTATTTGTCTTGATGTCATTTTTTAGGAATATTACTGTTGCTTGTCTGAAGACAGAAGCCTTTTTAGAGTTCTATAAATGGAACACATTTTAAATCTTAATTTCATAATTTAATGTCGAGAGGCATCAAAAACTATCAAAATTTAGTACTGCTATTTGGCTGCTCTTGTCACAGGGAGAACAATGTGAGGGGAAGGAAAGGACAACAAATTATTTGAGGGAAGGAACACCTCTGCTATAGAAGCAGGACCAGAGAGTTGGGATTGTGTAGCCTGGAGAAGGGAAGGCTCCAGGACTTCTTGTTGTGGCCTTCCAGTGCCCCATGGGGCTGTGAGAGAGTTGGAGAAGGGCTTCCAACAAGGGCAGGTAGTGATAAAACAGGAGAAATGGCTTTAGGATAGAAGATGATTTGCTTCCAATAGATATTGGGAAGAAATCCTTTACTGTGGTAGTGGTGAGGCGCTGGCACAGACTGCCCAAGGAAGCTGTGAGAGGAGAAACCCTGGAAATGTTCAAGGCAAGGTTAGATGGGGCTTTGAGCAACGTGGTCTAGTGGAAGCTGTCCTTGCCCATGGCAGGAGGGAGGGGCTGGAAGTGGGTCGTAGTTCAGGTCCCTTCCAACCCGGGATTCAGGGATTCTAGTGTGAAAAACATTCCTGTGAAAATTCCTGTTTACTCTCCCATAGGTCATAGTTCAGGTCCCTTCCAACCCAGGATTCAGGGATTTTAAGTGTGAAAAACATTCCTGTGAAAATTCCTGTTTACTCTCCCGTGAAAACATAAAAAGTTTAATAAAGGACAATAGGAGACAAAGACAGTAAAGCAAGGATTATGGCCCAAGAGCACAGTGTTATTTTTGGGGATACCCCTTAAATACCTTTTCCCTTACGTCAGCCTGTTGCATATTCATAGACCCTTATGTATAGTAAACTTTTTCCCAAACTAGTTTACATGATCTAAGAATTGTTTAACATATCTGCTCCTTGGAGCCACCTTTTGAGAGCATGGGTATTCCTTGGTTGTGGTTTTAGTCCTTTTTTATCACCTCCAGTTTTTGGGCCCTGGCCCACACTGCCTTCAGACGGTGAGTGCTCATAGTTGGCAGATCTGTACAGGTGTCTTCATCCTGTGTTCATTGGATGTTATCCCACCCAAGCAGGCATTTTAACACAAACATACTTATATCAGCTATTTCACTACTATGTCTAAGCTTAATTAATACCAGAAATAAAAACTATATCTTTATAACAAAGTTACTTTAAAACTACCCATATAAAATCCATTTTAATATTTACAAAAAGCTAATATTATAATACATACCTATAACACTAGGATTTGCTGAACCTCTGACTGCCATCTGATGCTCAGATGCTGTCCAGGTGCACTGCACAACTGCAGCTGGTGGCGAGCTTCTACTTCTCTGTGTGTGGGTTTATCATTTGGAACAGGTACAGGACAGAGTATCTGAGATGGAGGGAAGAGAGAAAACAAGCAGAGAGACAGGAAAGTAAGAAGAGACAAAAGAGAGAGCAAAAGGGGCAAAGCTAAGAGGAAAGAGAGGAAAAGAGAGGTGGAGAGGGAACAGGACAAAGATGGCCGAGAGAGAGGGAGAGAGATAAGAGGCAGGGGGGTGAGCAAAAGAGAGAGAGGGTGAGACCCAGACAAAGTCAACAAAAAACACAAACAAAAAAGAGTAATCACAGCAAAGAAAGAAGAAAAAGAAAAATCTTTATTACAATATCATAGCATCACTTATTTTCAGTTACACTTCCTCAGATACACTTCTGTGCAGCTTATTCATGTGACAGCTCACTAGTTTAAAATTTTATAAAAGTTTAGTAAGGGATAAAAGGGATAAAATGCAGTGCTGGGATGCTTGGCTATTTGCCAAAAGCACATGGTTAACTTAGCAACATGTTCTCTATATGCTGTTACAGTACAGGGGGTACAAGCATATTCATAAGAGTTTATACATATTCAAACATTCCTTTGAGTTTACTTGTTGTTTTGGTTGGTTTTAATCTTTGACTTGTCTTCATGCCTTCTTGTAGATATATTTTATTTCTTCTTGTGGTTCCATCCTTTTGTATTTTTACTCCTCCTTCTTGTAGATTAAACCAATATATTTTATTTCTTCTTGTGGTTCCATCCTTTTGTATTTTTACTCCCTGATAATGAGAGATCAATAAATTATTCTCTTTTTTTGGTGCTCTGTTTTTTGTTTCCATTATCTTGTCAATAAGATAAGATAATATGATAACGTGGGAGCTGATTTTCCCAAATGTGGGAAATCACCCACAATTATTTCACACCATTTTCTCAGTTAGTTACATGAAAAAGCATTTTAGCATTTCACAGTCTCCACTATATTACAGTCTAAGATAGGATGTATTACACTACTATTTATAAAATCTATATGGTATATGCATAAACTGACAGATTATATTATATCAAAAGCAGTAATTTCAAATTGTACTATATCAGGATTTTTGTGATCAATTGTACCTTGCAAAGCAAAAGTTAATACATAAATCGAAAGCAAATAACTGTATTTGTTATTTATATCATTTGGGAGTCTTTATGTCATTTGAGAGTAGAATTTGACATCAGTTTCAATACCGATTAATACAAGAGCACAGAGTGACAGGACAAAACTGGTAGAAGTTTTCAGAGAAGCTCTGATTTGCCAAATGTGCTTCTTCTACCTCAGAAAGGAGCACAAAGAAATCTTGCAGGACTGGTGAGGGCAAACGGGGGGGTGTTGGTGGCAAGTGGGTTTTTTTCCTTTCTATTCTGTCGAAAAAGGGAGTGTGGCAGCCTGGGACCAAGGAATATTGATGGCAAAGTGATAGTGGGTGACAGCATCCACCTGACAGCAATGTTTATCCCCTTCCCTGAGGTTGCAAGACCTGTTTCTCTGTGTGTGTGTGTGTTAGCATGACAGGAAATAAATAAAAAAAAAAGAAAGTAAAATAAAGACAAAAGGTCCTGGCAGGTGGCAGGGCTGCTGAGGGGTTTGGGATACACATTCCCAGTGTGTCCCCAGCTGACGTGTGTGTGTGTGTTAGCATGACATGAAATAAAAAAAAATTAAGTAAAATAAAGACAAAAAGTCCTAGCAGGTGGCAGGGCTGCTGAGGGGTTTGGGATACACATTCCCAGTGTGTCCCCAGCTGACGGGATCGCTGTGGCCACGCCAGCACGGAGCTGTGTTGTGCTGCCGGGACAGTTGCTTGGAAAAAGAAGGAAAAAAAAACCCCTAAACAAATCGAAGAGGAAAAACTCACCCGGGCAGGCAGCAGCAGGCTCCGGCGTGGCCGAGGTTTCCAAGGCTACTGCAGCCACGCTGCCAGCTGGGACACGGCCGCTTTTGGGGTCGTTTTGTACAATGTTTAGTGTTTGAGCTGGGAGAGCCACTCGTGGCTCGGGTTGTGTGTTGCGGGGGGGAATTGCTGACTGAGGGCTTATTTGTTTGGTGCAAGCCTTGCCAACAATGCGAGCTTTCCTGAAGAGCTCGGGGGGGTGTTTCCAGCTGAAATCCCACACCACGACCATCGGGAGCCACAGAGGGGCCGACATCGTCCTGCAGGTAGGGCCGAGGCAGCTGAGAGTGAGCATCCCAAACCGGGAGGGGGATGGAGGGAAGGGATGTGCTGGAGCCCTCCGTGCAAAGTGTGGAGGTACCAGTTTGTGCTGGGACTGACGGCCAGAAAAGGGGCTTGGCAAAGCAGGAATGAGCCTGGAGCCACCTCCAGCAGCGTTCCCTTCCTGTCCCCTGCCTGCTCCCAGTCTGCAGGGGTCGCAGACCGCCATGCAGCCCTGGAATTCTCCGCCTCAGACAACAGCTTCATCCTTCATGACTTCAACTCCCCCCACGGCACCTTTGTCAACAGCTGCCAGGTCCAAAACGCGGCCGTCAGGGTGAGGCCGGGGGACATCCTGAGCTTCGGCACTGCGGGAGCATCCTTCGAGCTGGTGCTGGATGGGGCTGCCCAGGTAGGGTGGGGATGCCCAGGGAAAGGTGGATGCCATGGCCCTGGAAGGATGCCCGGGCAAGGGTGGGTGGGGATGTCCAGGGAAAGGTGCCCGGGGAAGGTGGGTGGGTGGCAGGTAGGGTGGGGATGCCCAGGGAAAGGTGGATGCCATGGCCCCTGAAGGATGCCCGGGCAAGGGTGGGTGGGTGGGTGGGTGCTGATGCCCAGGGAGGGCTCCAGAAGCAGGAACTTGCTCCCAGCTCATCTGGAGATCCTGAGGAAAGGTGCCAAAGGTGAGCGTCAGGAAAACCCACAAACGCCAGAGGTTTATGTCCAAAAAGGAGACAGAGGAGTCCTTCGTCTTTATTCAGATAAATAATTCTCCCAATTCATCTCCCAGATAAATTATTCTCCCGATAAAGGGCGAGAGTCCACTGGGGCAGGTGCCCCTGGGGTTTTCTCTCTCTCGGGGTTTTGGAAGGCACAGCCTTTTATCCGAACTCCCGGCCGCATGTTGCCCTCTTCCTTTTCCCACTGGCCGAGGTACTGGGAAGGTACAGCCTTCCCGAACCAACTACCATATATTTCCTCATTGAACCTACTGTTTTACCACAAAGTTCAGGAGTTCAGGTTTGTGCAGACCCTTGCCTATCTCAGGAGCCGAGCTGTCTGGGCTCTGCAACAAACCTGCCCAAAGTCAACAGAGGTATTAAGACCCATTTCAAAGACATCAACACCCCTACCTTCACCCATCAAATTATTTGTCAAGACATTAGCACGCATCTTTCCTGTCACGGGGGAGGAGGAAATGAAAAGCTGGAGCTCCCTCTGCTGAAGAAACTCAGGCAGTTCGGTAGGAAAATGGAAAAGCACGGGACAGAGATGCATTAGCAAAGGACGACCTGGAAAATGTCCTTTCCCTCTATTTGCATTTTATGTTTCTTCCCAAGCCACTTAACAAGAGAGGAGCTGGATTTCAAATAAAACATAGAGGAATGGATAATCCCCAGTAATATTTTTATTGTTTTGGCTCTTGAAAAATCCAAGATGCTGCCTAGGTAAAGCTAGATCATGCTGGAGCAGCAAGCAGTTGAATTCCCAAAGGCAGGTGAGCACAGAATTGGGTCTGTACAACAATGCAGAGCCTGTCCATGGGGTGCCTTTTCCTCACCCTGGGATCCCCCTTTGGAGGGGCAGCTTTGCAGCCTGACCCTGCTGCCTGCAGGGAGGGAACCACCTCGCTGTGAAGCGTCTGACGAGGGGAGGGATTGCTCCTCTGAGTCTGAGAGAAGGTGCTGTGCAGAGAAGCACACCCAGCTGGGAATCACACCCTGCCTGCCCTAACAGGCACTCTGTCAGGTTTTTGTGCTATTCTGCTGGGAGCCAGCGCCGTGGGCAGCAGCAGGAGCAAAGCAGCAGGGCTGGGATGTGCCCTGGGAGAAGGGAAGGTGCTGGAGGTGCAGGGAGCCTGCACTGGGCTCTGGGGCTCTGTTGACAGTGGGGGTTTGAGGGACCCACACCCAGGTCCGACCCCGCTGGCAGATGTTTAGTACAGCCCTTGTCACTGAGACCTTGGAGGTGGCGTGTCCCCACTGTCCTGGAAAGCTCTGCTCTTGAGGAGAACAGCACACTGTGTCCTAATTGCCAGTCTGACAGGCTCAGCTGATGCAAAGACAGGAACACAATGAGAGGCTTTGGTTTGCCTGGGAGAATGGGAGAAACAAATGGCATAGGACCATGTGTGAGCCAGGAGAGCTGTGAAAGGAGTGCTGCTGCGTGGTGCAAATGATGTGCAGAATTAGGGCAATCAGAAGGAGAGGGAAAAGTTCAAAAAGCAGAAAACCCCAATAATTTTCTTCTGTTTCAGCAAAGCATCTGGATGCCCTGATTCAAATCTGATCCTTGCATCATGGAAATGGGAAAAATCTAAAATTGTGCTTCTGCTGAGATCTATGCCTAGGTTTTCCACAACACAGTGCACGTGAATCCAGAGCTAAAATATTTCATAAAATCTTGCAGATAACTCGGTGCTTTCCCACCACAGATGCCCTGTCCTCCTATGAAACGTCGCATGGGGTGGAGTGGGCAGCTCCAGGTGGTTGCAGAGCCCAAACCCTGGACTGCTGCATCTCCTCTGTGCCTGCCCTCGCTGCAGGGGCAGCTCCCCCCTGACTCCCTGGGCAGTGGGGCCCCCAGAGCCCCTGGCCACGGGCCCCATCTGGTGCTGCCAAGGCGACCTGCGAGTGCCCGGGTCAAGAGCACAGCCAGTGCCACCTCTCTGGACACCTCCAGCAGGACCTCTGCAGTCAGGCCAGGTACTCCATGATGCCAAAACCAGCCATTTGTGTCCTGGTGTCCTCACAGAGCCACTTGATTGGAGCAGAGCAGTGACAAGTTGAGCAGCTGGGTGCGAGTCATTGTCCCCTGCAGCTGATCAAAATCTGTGTGTGGTCCTGGGTGGCATTTGGGTCAGGGATGAAAGGAGCTGTGCCATCCCAAAGGGAATGCTGTTGCCCTTGCAAAGGGACATTTCCTCTTCCTTTTTCCTGGTGTGGGACCCAGAAGGGCCATGACTGACTTTGTCTGCACCACTGACTCCTGTGCCTGTTCCTGACTCCTGTGTAAAGTTTTTTTCCCCTCCTTTGAAGTGGCTGTCTCCAGTGAAAGCACTTTAAAATGAGATTGTATCCAATACACCTCTGGAAATAAAGTATGTGATAGAGCAGGGCAGAGGTGAGGGTTTGGGCTGGAGAATGTGGCATTTGCCATGGAGGTTGTGGCCTGGTGCACAGTGCTGTGCTTTTCCTGCTGTGGGGTTGGGATTTTTGAGCTGTCATAAGCAACACAAAATCAGCAGTGAGGCAGCACCATGCAGTCCCAGTGCTGAACTGGAAACCTCAGTCAGGACAGGGGGGGATACACACAGCCAGGGTAGCACAAACTCCTTTTTTTGAGAACAGCCCAAAGGATCTCCACGCCCTAATGGGGGAAGACAAAAAAGCACAGCTTTCTGGAGGGCTGGCCAGTGCTGAAAAATAAGGGTCGCCTCTCTCTGCTGTGTCTCTGCTGCTTTTAGGCTGTTTTGGTTCCCAGAGGTGAATTAACTCTCTCTTCTGTGCAGACTGTTTGCAGTATAAGTTTTTTGCAGTCTTTTTTTTTTTGTTTTGGTTTTTTTTCTTTTTTTTTTTGTTTTGTTTTGTTTTGTTTTGTTTCTCTGCTGGTTATGAAGCAAACTCATGCCCTGAATAGTGGCCACTGCCTTGGAGTTTTGGGACAAGGGAAAAGGGTGCTGCAGGGAGCATTTTTGCTGCCTGCAGCCACCTGTCATGCTGATAATTTTCTTTCTTCCAGTCTCAGCCAGCTTCTCAGGTGATGGTGCAAGCAGAGTGGGGAGAGCCCCTCCCCTGGGGCCTCACAAGGTGGATCTCCTCCTGCAGGGGAAGGTAATGCTGAGGAGAGAGGGAGGGAGTGAGGATCCTGTCCTGGTCCTTGGAGGAGCAGGTGAATCCTGCCAAACGTCTGTGTCCCACCAGGAGTCCCAGCAGGGTGTGGGGGCTGCCACCAAAGCAGGTGGATGGAGACAGTGGGTGGCTGGAGGATGTGGGAAGCCAGGGACAGCAGGTCCCTTGCTGATGGCCTTGAGTTGGAACCCCTGGGCAGGGGGTCTGGAGCTTCAGTGGCTGCAGAGTGACCAGTGGAACCTGAATCTGCCAGCAGGGTGAGAAGCTACTGGAGAAGGAAGTGGGTCACCTTTTTGGTTTGGAAACACAGTTAAAGGGGAAGGATGTGGTGATGAGAGACCTACAGGAGGAGATCGCAGCCATGGCAAAGAAACTGGCCCAGGCAGCAGTGAGGAACGAGGCTGAGCTGACCCAGGAGCTGCTCACCTTCAACCGAGAGCTGGGAGCTCAAACAGAGGAGATCAAAGCCCTGAGGGAACAGGTACTGGAGGCTTCCATAGTCCCTGAGCAGGGAAACACCCCTCAGGTATAGATGTGTTTGTGGGGTAATACCCAGGTTTGGGCAGGAGAGGTTTGCGTGTCTGAAATCAAGGGAAATGAGGGTGAGAGGTTTCCTTCCTTCCTTCCTTCCTTCCTTCCTTCCTTCCTTCCTTCCTTCCTTCCTTCCTTCCTTCCTTCCCTCCCTCCCTCCCACCTCTGGCATTAGGATTTCAGCAGGAACAGCCAGAGCACATTTAGGATGGTATGTGAAGATGCTAAGGAGCGGTCCAACCAAACCACAAGTGCCAGATGACCCTCTCTGAAGGATCTGTAGCAGTCAATGAACATTCTGGTGAGGAGCACAGGTAAATCTGTATTTTGCAGATCAATGACCTGCAGAAAGGCTCAAACCAAGCCTTCAGCCATTCCCTCCATGAAAGAGACCTGGAGATCGGGAGGCTGCGGAGGGAAAGTGAGAAGTTGAAGAGAGACCAGGCTTTGACTGCAGGTTTTGTATCCCTGGAGCTTTGGGTCAGGGCATGAAGCAGTTTGGGACTGGCTCTGGATAAGGAGCAAGCATTGGCCAAATTGTACAAGCAACAAATCATTCCTAGTGCCTTGTGGTAAGGGACCCTAAAGAGCACCTCATTCCACCCCCTCCCATGGGCAGGGTCACCTTCCACTGTCCCAGGCTGCTCCCAGCCCTGCCCAGCCTGGCCGTGGACACTTCCAGGGATCCAGGGGCAGCCACAGCTTCTCTGGGCACCCTGTGCCAGAACCTCCCCACCCTCACAGGGAAGATTTTCTTCCCAATAACCCAGCTAAATGTCACACCTGGGTGACCTCTGACCACAGTTCTTTTCCTCAGGTCTGGTGAGCAACCTGCAAAGAGAACTCCTGCAAAAGGATCAGAAAATCCAGCAACTTCAGCAAGAGACTGAAAAACTAAATAAGGAAAACCAAGAGAAGGACAATCAGCTGGCTGTGGTTTCAGCCAAGGTTGGTAGCACTAATTAGGGGCTCAGTAATTGATGACCCATGCTTGACATGGGGATTAAGGTGGGAAAGCAGTGAGCAGGGTCATGCTTCTCTCTGGTGAGGATAGTAGCAGTTGTATCACTGGGATACAGTGGTGATGGTCCCACGACCATGTCTGGGTGTGCCAGGATGCCCACGGATCAGGGTCTCCTTCCCCAGCTGGACCTCTGCATCAGGTACTGTGTGCCCTGGACTCCTGTGAGCACAGGGCTGTTTGTACACACAAAATATTCCTGCCAAGGTCCTCCCGACGAGCCATGGGACTCCCTGTGGCCCAGCCTGGATTTGTCCTTAAAGAAGGTGCCTTGTGCAGCAGCAGTTTGTTCCCCTGCATGGGCAGCTCCTCCTCAGCTGGCAGAGCTGCACTGGGAGCATGATAAGGACAGACTGTGCTGGCTGCAATGTGCCAGGAGATCACAACGATTGACTTGTGAATCGTAGAATTGCTGAGCTTTGAAAGGACCTGTAAGATCAGTGAGTCCAGCCATTACCCCAGGACCACCAAGGCCACCACTAAACTATGTCTCCAAGTGTCTTTTAAATCCCTACAGGGATGGCAACTTGACCACTGCCCTGGGCAGCCTGTGCCAGTGTCCCATTCACAGCAGGAGTGATGGTATCACTGCCCTGATGGTTATTTTTCTTGGTTGCCATTCCTTCTAGTGCTCAAGAATTAAAGAAGAAACAAAGCATGAACTCAGAGAGCAAGAGCTAATCTCCTGCAGAAATGTGAGTCAAAAGTCATTTTGGGTAAGCAGTGGCTGCAGGAATGCATCAGCAAGGAATAATTAACTGAGCATAGTAAGGGAGCTGTTTGGAGCTCAGCTCCTGTCCTGAAAGGCACATAATGGGCATAAGACCTGGGGAAGTGTAAACCCTGTTGGATCTGCAATGCTGGTTTACAGTGTGAAGGGAAGGGTGGGGGAGAGGGAGCTTGGGGGGGATGTGATGGGAAATCAGATGAATTCCACTTGTAAGCTGATATAACCACAGTAAATGCAGGTTAGAAGATAATTCCAGTAAACAAAGTGAGTTAGATGGGCAGAAAATCATTCTGATGAGTGGAGGTCATCCAGAGGGGCAGTGCCCAGCTGCCCTGGTGAGACCCCCACCCTCCCCGGGCTCTTGCAGCGCATCGAGGAGCTGGAGCAGGGGCTGCAGGGGCTGCAGGGGGAGATCCGGAAGCATGAGAGTGTCCAGAAGCAACTGGCTGAGAAAACCAAGGTACTGTTGGCTGCAGGGGACACACAGAGGGCAGGTGCCATCATCCCAGAGGGGTGGGACAGGGACCAGCAATCCCTGGGAGCACAGGCTGGATGGGCAGGACATCCAACTGTCCTGAGCTCTGCCATGGACCCTGATGGAAGAAGAAAAACAGATGGCAGAGTGCCCTGTGTGGGTGTTGGGTGAGGAAGTCAAGGATGGACAATATCCCAGGGATGAAACCCAGGCAAAAGGGTTATCCCTATGAAGGGTCAGTGCTGCAAGCCCACTCCCTGCACCAGGATTGCTGTCTGTCTCCTGGCATTCCAAAGGCACGTTTGGACTCGTCTGATGGGAACAGTGGTTGAAATGGCCGTGGCATGGTTTTGGATGTCACTGTGAGATGCCAAAGCTCTCGTTGCAGGCGGAGGAGGAGCTGAAGGCAGCCTGGTCCCAGCAGGCGGGGCAGCTGCGGGAGATGGGGCGCAGGGAGCGCCTGCTGCGGTCTGACGTGCAGAGAGCTGGGGAGCAGGTAGGGATGCAGGGATGGGAGCATCACCACCGGGGCTCTGAGCAGCACAGGGGTGCAGCTTCCCATGGGGAAGATGTGCTGTGGAAACAGAAACCCCGAGTCCTGAGCACCAAACCCTGGCACGGGACTTATCTTGTCACTGGGTGAAGTATAAAAGGCTTATCCAGAATTTGTGTGGGCAGCATGGACAACGTAGCAGTTTAATAGCATACAGAAAAGGAATCTCTAATCTGAGTTATGCTGTCTGGGAGCCACACCAACCTTCCTCAGTGCCTGGGTAATGCTGCTCTGGGCAGGGACAGCCCTTTGCAGATAACATCACACTAGATATGGACCATCAGTGATCAGCAGAGCAGCTGTCAATGATTCGTGGTGTTTGTTTCTATGTGTTGATCCCTGCTGCAGCTGGAGTCCTTCAAGACCCAAGTGATGCAAGTCTTTTCTCCATCAGCAGCTGGCAGCACAGGGAAACCTGTAACAGAGCAGCAGGTGAGTTTGGCCACCAGCTCACAGAGATGTTCAGAGCCTGCAGAGCCTGAGTGGCTTGTGGCAGCTGCTGCAGAACAGCCATGGTGCCTGCTCCATGTGCAGTAGGGCTGCAGCATCCAGGCTTCTCCAGAGGAGGATTTGGGCTGTCCCAGGTTAATGGCACTGCTCCATTGTTACAGCAAACCAGCCCCTGGCTGGGTAGTAATTGGCACAGACTCCATGAAATCACAGAAGGCTGATCAATAATCTTTATTAAGAAACCCATTACTCTTTTTATACCCTAGTTCACCACAGGCAGAATTAATTGATCTTTTAATGAAAACACCATCACCATTGGCTAATTAAGAAACCACCCTTTGGTAAACAAATATCCATAACACATTCCACATGTTCACAATACCAGGTGCAGCAAGATAAGAATTGTTTCTCATTCTTTTCTCTGATCTTCTCACGGGCTTTCCCAGAACAATGCCTGGGAAAGTTCTGTGGTTCTCTCTGTGGCCAGAGAGCTGCTGCCACACTCCATGACATGAAAGAGACAGAGTTCTTTTTTTTCCCTCAAAGCTTGGGGGGAGTCAGTGGTCTGCAACAAGGACAAGCCCAGGAGACTGTCAAGGCTGCCAGTTTGCAACAAGTCTCAGTTGTTGCTCTCTGAGATGATCCCTGGCCCCTCAGCTGGAAAACAGTACGAGTCTTATCCTCCTCTTTCTTCACTCACTTTTGCCAGGTGATAGAGAAGGTCAGGCAGATCTCTGATGAGAACCAACAAAGTCATGAGAGAGAAAAGAGTCTGCAGAAGGAATTAAGCTCCAGGCTCGTAAAGGAGAAGGAGCTGTCTGCAAACATCGAGGTGTTCAAGGACTCCCTGCAAAAGCTCCAGGTCAGCTCTTTAAATACTGAGGACCAAATGGCCGCTGGAAGATAGTGGCACAGGGTGTTTTGTTGGCCTGAGAAAAGGTCAGAGTAAAGATACAACCCTGAAACAAAGCATCATCCCTAAGTCTTCATGTTCCCAGGAGTTTGTCACAGATTCTCCATAAGGCCCCTCCTGTTCCACCCCCTGCCATGGGCAGAGACACCTTCCCCTGGCCAAGGTTGCTCCAAGCCCCGCCCAGCCTGGCCTGAGATGTTCAGAAATGCTGTGTCATTTGCCAGTCCCTGAAGGCCACTGACAGTGGAGACTGGCTTGTTCCCCACGGGTTCCATTTGTTCCAGGCTTGCCTGAGGAGCCCCTGCAGCAGTGCCAGCCTGCGAGGGGAGCTGGGGCAGCTGGAGCTGTTGTGCCTGGATCCCCCTGTCTCGGCCATCAGGACAGCAGTGGTGGACATGGCACGTGGTCCCCTGTCCTGGCTGGAGGGTGCAGAGCAGCTCCTGGACAGCGCAGGGGTAGACCTGCACACCTCTGGCAAAGGTCTGTGTCCTGCTGGGCATCCCTGGGAATGTGGGATGTCCTGGCAAGACAGATGTAGAGGAGAAAGTCCAGCCTGAACCACTCCTTGGGGAGAAAATCACAGAATCGTGGAAATTTTAGGGCTGGAAAATACCTCCAAGGTCACCAAGTGCAAGCATTAAGCCAGCACTGTTCCCAAGTGCCACAGCCTCACACTTTATTGAACACAGGAATGGTGGCCCATTCCAATGCCTGACCATCTTTTTCATGAAGAAATTTTCCTGGATATCCATAATATGGTGTGTGAGCACCCCACACAGTGAGGCTCCCTTGACTTTTGCAGGGCTGTTGGCTGCTCTCAGGAGCTTGTTGGAAAAGAGTCAGGAGATGGCACAGAGGAATCAGATGTTGCAGGTACAGAAATATTTATGCACATAAACCAGGTGGATTTGGACTCTTTCTATGGGTAAATATGATGGCAGTCCCAAGCAAGCCAGTGTAGCACCTAGACTGAGGATGTGCAGTCCCTGAGTCTAGAGGAAATGTAAGGTAAGGGAGACAGAGCCCACTGTCAGCGTGTCCTTATCCCTAATGCAGCAGGATGGAGAGGAGATCTCTTTTGTGAATTTTTTGTGAGTGAATGAACACAGGAGGTTTATTTCTTGCCCTGCTGCTGACATACTTCCTTTAATACCTCCATGTCTCCCTGTAGGAGCAATTAGAGAAGCTCCAGGAGCTTCAGGCAGAGCTGCTGCAGGGGCACACAAAGGAGCTGGAAGCAAAACATGAGCAAGACTTACAGAAAAAAATCCAGCAAATTATCCTGGAAAAGGACAAGGAGAGCAAACAGGTACAGTGACATGGTTGGTGTTTCAGAAGAGGAACATTATGCAGGAAAAACGGATATCTGTAAAAGTGTTGGATAACAAGAGGAGGAACCTCTAGCTCCAAACTGAATGCAGTCCCAAGGGACTGGATATCCTCCCATATGGATCCAGGTGATGTAAACTTACAAAAGTATCCACGGTGGATCTGGGAAGCACCTGCAGGTAACATCAGGGCACACAGCTGCCAGTCAGTCACCAGGGGAAAGGGATGCAAGGAGCATCATGATCCATGAGCTTAGGGAAAGATTGCACTGCTTCTTCTCAAGCCTTCTCTCCCTCCCTCCCTCCCCACATTGGACTCCTGTTGGCTCCTTTTTGGCTGGAAAAAGTTCTTCCTGTGGAGCAGGGGGGCAGCAGTCCCCCCCAGCCCCAGGCCATCGCACCAGTGGCTCTGGTGTGGGGTGCAGTGTCAGTCGGGGTGCAGATGGGTGCTTTGCCATGTGTGCGTTGTGATTGTTGTGGCCTTGTAGGACAGTTTCCAGTCTGCTTCTGTGTCTGGCACCTTGGGAATGGTGGTTTCCTGGTGTTCAGTTTTCTAAAGAATCAGGCAAGGAGCAGCCAAGCACCTCCTACCCAGTCTCTCAGCTGTGCTTTTCCCCAGGTGCTCCCATCCTCTCTTTCACTGAGTTACCTCGTGTTCTGCCAAGTTTTTCTCCCATCGCCTGCCCCTGCTCCAGAGCAATGACCCTCCCTGCTGCTTTCCTCCTTGGAGCTGAGGTCTTTTTTTCCTGAAGTGAATCTGTGGTTTGTTGATTCACAGATTCTGGAAAGCGCTGTCACTGAGGAGAAGGAAAAATGCAAGAAATCTGTGGAGGAAGAACAGAGGAAGATCCAAGAGTTGGAAAGCCATCTAAGAAGCATGGCTGAGGTGAGCATGGGAGGTGAAGCAGAACAGCTCACTCCTGGAATGAAGAAAAGGGGAAGTGTAATGTGGTGCTCCAGAGGCTCAAAGCAGTAGATGAAGGGGTTTCCCTGTCCCTCCCAAATACACAGAGAGCAGCTCTGCAGAAAGAAAGGTAGATTCCTGGCTAACCTAATTACTTCTAATTTCCTCTGATAGGCAAACACAAAGAAGGCAGAGGAGCAGGAACTAACAGAGGGAAAACTGAGAGAAGCTTTGCATGAGCTGAAGAAAATTACTGCACAAGAGGTACTTGCACCGACCTGTGCAGGTGGAGGATGCACTGTTGGAGAAGAAGGCTTCCCTCATCCTTGAAATCCTTCCCTCCAGTCTTGTCACCACCATCCAGGAGAGATGATGCTGATGGTGATCCCAAAAGAAGCCCCCAGTGCTTCCAACCGAGCTCCCATATCTTGTTTCCCAGGCGCTGTTACAGCAGCAGGTGCTCCAGCAGAGCCAACAGCTCAGGGCTGCCCAGGAGGAATATGAGTTACAGAGGCAGAAACTGCAAGAAGAGGTAGCAGGATACAGGGAGCAGAGCAGGCAGCATTCCCTGACCATCTTGGCTTTAGAGGACAGGCTGCTAGAGGCCACTCAGCAGCAGAAGGTGCTGGAGGAGGAAAAGACAGCACTTGTGGAAAAAATGGAAGGTAGGTGAGGGTTGTATGGGATGTGCCTGTACCAGGAACTGGCTGGGTTAACATGAAATGTGTGTGGAGATGGGACAGTGAATTTCCTGCTATAGAAAACATTGGGAAGATGTTGAATGAAGGTTATTCCCCTGCCGGACAAGCTCTGTGAGGCCCTGCAGAAGCCGTTTCATTGTTTGGTGGTTTTGGAAAACATTTTTTCATTGTTTGGTGGTTTTATCAGGGCTTTGCTGCTGGAGAAGGGCTCTTTGCCCTCTAAAATTACAAGACTGGCATGCTTTGGGCTTCTCCAAGACAGAAGCAATCCCAATCAAGGGTGGATGTCAAGAATTGTCCAGTTTGCCTTGGAACTGGGCTCTCAGGGACATGGGTTTCCCAAAGAGACAGTCCTCAGAGCTGCCACATGAAGGAAATTATTTATGTAGCAGAAGCAACAAGCATGTAAGTGTTACAAAGAAGTAATAGGCCTTATTTTTTTGTGTCCTTTAGGACTCCAGTGTGATGCCCACAGCTCAGCATCAGGAGATTGGCTGGAGATTTGTCCTGCCTTGGAGTCTCATGTTTGTCTGAGGTGAGCAGCACTCGCTGATGGTGATCAGAGATGCTTGGAGAAGGGCAGGGACCACTTGGGAGAGCCTAAGGAAGTCCAATGTCTCTTGTCCCAAGATCTTTTTAGTCTGGGATAGGATTCAAGCCCCTTTGCTAGGCTGAAGTGATCCTAAGAGCACAGAGCATCAAAGTGATGCCAAATAGCACGTGACAATCTGCCATCCCATCTGGATGGCTCCAGGTGAGAGCAAGTGGTGTAGCCAATCCCACACCACAGGGTGACCCCAGGGGACCAAAAGGCAGGTAAAAAAATAATTAGATCATAAAATATTAAGCAGGAATGCAGCACAGGAAGGCGTGCATGGGCTCCCTGCAATGAGGTTTCCCAATGGCTGTGAGATCTGCACTGGTCTTTCCCAGGAAACTGCATGAAAAGCTGGCAGTGGTGCAGGGCATGCTCCTGGAAAAGAAGGTAGTCATCAGCAGGCTCAGCAGGGAGCTGTCAGAAACCAGAGCCAGGATGTCGGACATGAGAGGTGGGTGATGTGCACTGTGTGGCTGCCATCATCCCCATCCTCCTCCAAGACACACAGGTCACAGGAAATTAATGTCACAATTCTCAGGCAATGCTTTGTCCTGCTGGGGGCAAAGCAGGCAGTCTATTCCCTTTGGGAAAGTGAATTTCTCCCCATCTTTGGCTAAGTAATAGCAGTGACAATGAGAGAGCAGAGTAATCAGGGAGGGAGCAGGTAGACAAAACTGAGCTCAAAATCACACTGGTGAACTTCTTGGAGCTGAAGATGTTCTAAGCCAGTGGAATGGGAAAGCCTTGCCTGGGATTCCTCCATGGGCAGTGCTGTGAACATGAGGACAGAGCCCATGAGGAATGTATGGAGTCAAAAAATGCAAGTCAGAAAATGCTGGTGACCTGTCCTCCTACAATATGAATGAAAATTGCCACAGCAAGGAATTGCCCTGGCTTGTACCTCCACAGAGGGACTGGGATTTAGTAAACCAGGACGTCCTGTTGGCATGGCCCGGGATCTGAGGGCAGCTGTCAAGGCAGAGCTCTGCAGGCATGAGCCCCATTGTTGCTTCCATGAGTGTGCACCAGCTGCAGATCCCCCAGGACTGGGTGATGAGTCAGCCAGCATCCCACGAGGCTGTTCTGTGCTTAGGGGAGCTGAGTGAGGAGCAGAAGGTGGAGCTGGAGCACAGCCAGAGGCAGCTGAAACACCGGGAGTGGGAAGTGAACCAGCTCAGGGAGAAGCTATCCGAGGTGTCCAGCCTTGTGGAGGAGAAGGATCGGGCCCTGAAAGCAGCAGCTGAAGAATTAAGGTACACCCTGACATCACCCAAGGCTTCATGGATGCCGCTCTGTGTGCCCAGCAGCTGATGGTGTTTAGGGTTCTCCTCAGAGCAAAAGGCACATGTGACAGTATCAGGATGGAGCTCAGCTCTGAATCCATGACACAGGAACCGAAATCGGGGTTTAGTGGAGCTCATGCCAGTAAATGTGTCACTCAGGCACTTGTATCTAAGCAAGTGTTCCCACCCACACTGTGATAGTCATCAGTGGGTGCCCAGGGTGCTGCTTTCCACAAGCTGTTTGGGTCACCTTTACCCATCATAGGGTCCCACAACTTCTTGTCTCTCCACATAGCCAAGCCCAAAGGCGCTGCCAGGTGCTGAAGGATGCTTCCCAACAAACACTGGAGAACAAAGAGGATGCTCCCAGGACACCAGTGCAGGTGAGTGAAGCCTCCCAGAGAGTGAGTCCTCACGGAGAGGACTGAGGTGTGGGTTTGCCAAGAGCACTGATGGCACGTGGTGTTTCTTGGCATCACGGTGAGAGCCAAGCCTGGAGCTGCCCTGCACTGGCCTGAGGGTGGGATGGCCGGGCACCCTTCCCAAGCCAGGGCTGCCTGTGCTGCCTCTGATCCAGGGAACCCACAGCCCCCACCAGGCTGCTGCTGGTTAATGAGCTGATGTTTGCACAGCACTTTGGAACCACCAAGTGTTGTGTGTGCTAATAGCTGTGTTAATTGCCGATTAGAGGGAATAGCAACATGCAAGCATTCCTTCCTTTTCCCAGCTTGCCAAGCTGTGGATGCTGGCTGTGCAGGTAATGCAGAAACAGTTCTAGGCGTGTATGTGCAGAAGTAAGGGCAGCTTGTTGCACAGGACAGGAAGAAACGCTCCTCATTCTCCTGTGCCAAATCCCTATTTGATTTTCCCAAGGCTGGAAAAGGGAATAACTCGCAGGTGGTGGCAGCAGCAGATGGAGGGACTGTGGGAATTGTACATTCTGTTCAGCGATGGTGGCAGCCAGCAGCGTGCCAGCGAGGCCGGCTGGCTGCGGGGGCCGGCGTGACTCACAGCCAGCTGATGAGCGGGCGGAGGCACTGCCCATCCTGCTCCACATGCTGTGCTGGGGAGGGGGAGATCCCTGTGCTGGGAGTGCCATTCAGGAGCGGGACGGGCAGAGATGTGGGGTGACAGCAGCCAGACCGGAGCTGGGGGTCTGCAGCCGTCATCACCCTGTGGCCCTAGTCCCACCACAGATTTTTGGATGTTTGTCGTAATGCAGGGATCTGGATGGGGCTGGGAGAGGCAGTGCACATGTAGAGAGTAATGTCCAAGTTTGTGTTTGGGACTCAGTCTCTGAAGTGCACAGGTGTTTGTGTGTAGATGGCAAATGCTCTCTGGTGGTGCAAAAGACAAGGGAAAAACACCAATGTGGCTGTTCAGAGCTGTGCACCAACCCTCTCCTGGCTCTCCAGAGCATTTACAGGGTTCATATCCTGACCATGGCACAGCAGAGCAGGAAAGAGGTCTGTGACAAGTCTCTTACACCCCTCCAATCCATGGAGATGCTCCCCAGGCTTTGTTCTTGTGCCGAGTGCCCGGTATCTGGCAGCAAGGCTGTGTTTACATTGAGCTTGTGCTGTGCCAGATGCAGACTGGTCAAGAACCTGTCTTCTTTCAGGAGCCACCATCAGACCTGGCTGAGCTCGGTGCGAAGTGCCAAGGCCTGAGGCACGAGGAAACGATCCAGCGCCAAAAAGAAGGTTTGGCCGAGCTCCGGGAGAGAGTAAAGATGCTGGAGAAGAGACAGTGCTCAGGTGAGCAAGGCTCTCCTAGAACTATGGAATGGTTTGGGTTGGAAGAGACTTCAAGGACCATATTGTTCCACTCCCTGCCATGGGACACCTGCCACTTTCTCAGGTTTCTCCAAGCCCCGTCCAGCCTGTCCTTGGGCACTTCCAGGGATGAAGTTGCCACAACTGCTCTGGGCACCCTGTGCCAGGGCCTGCCTACCCTCTCAGGGAGGCTGGGAGAGCTGGGCAGCCTCAAAGTTGTGTGGAGAGTGGAACAATTTAGCACCTGTTTGTTTGCCTCCAGGTGCTGTGAAGAGCAATTCAGAGCCACTGGTGGTCTGGATGAAAGACTTACCAGAGAAAATAGTCCAACAAAGAAGCCTTGAGCTGGAACCTGCTGCTGTGTTGGGAGAAAAACCGAAGGCTGGCAAGGTAGGGAGGCAGTGTGTGGTTTGTAATGCCTGTGACTGTGTTTGGAAAGTACGCCCTGGGAAAGGAAGAAATAGGTTTTCAGAGATGCTAAGGAGTCAGGGAGATGCAGCCTGATGGATAGCAGGCAGTGCTCCTGCAGAGGATGGCAGCTCCATCAGGACCAGCACATTGCCTGGTGCTGTTGGAGTAGCAGGGGTTGGGCAGGATGGGAAGCCTGGGACCACAGCAATACTGGGCTGGTTTTCCCATGGGGTGAAAGGGAGGCACAAGGCCACTTCACCAAAAACAAGGCCCAAAGTGGGCTCCAGAGGTCTTTCCCTATCTTTGCAGGCTCCTGACCATGTTCCTAATGGGAGCTCATTCAGGATCACCAACAGCACAGCGAGCTTGGAAATGGCTGAGGCAAGAGACTTGGGTGAGAAGATGGTACGTCAGGGATAGATGTGGTAAATGGTGTAGAGTGTGTACATGCCCAGCATGTGTAGAGTTCAGATGTTTTTTGAAAACATTTTGGAGGTATGTCACATCAGGATGCTGCAGGAATGTTGAAGATGAACTGCTTTGTGGCCCAATTAAAGACATCCCTGTCCATGGCAGAGGGGGTTGGTTTGATGATCTTTATATTTCCCTTCTAATCTAAACTATTCTATGGTGCAGAGCACATTGTGTGTCTGCCAGGACATCCTGGGATCCCAAAACATGCCATGGTGCATCAGAGAGGCTGGGGAGCAATGGAGGGAGCTGCCAGGGAAGGGGTCCATGGGTAGCACAAGGGGGGGTTTCTTCCCTCCAAAAATGCAGGGAAACACCCAGCAGGGAAAACAGTCATCTTAGAAAAGGAAGCAATCCAATTCCAGTGAGCTGTGCAGCTGGGAATGAGATGCAAACCTACTTTCCTTGGGACGTTGTTGTGTCCTCAGGAAAGCAGACAGAAAGCAGATGGCTGAGCAGCGTGATGGAATGCAGCAGACCTGGTAAATAATGCATTCCCTCTTTTTCCCACAGTACCTTGATGTAATCGGTGCTCTGGGAAGCCTGGTGGAGATGAAGGAGCTGTCAGGAATGCAGCCTCTGCAGCACCTTCCTCAGGAGAAAAGGGCAGAAGTGGGACTGCAGAGACAGAAGGCCCTAGAGCTGTTGTACAGAAAGATCAGGAACCTCCAGGTTCGCCTGGAAAGGAAAGAAGAAATGCTGAAAGATTATGAGGGAAGTGTGGAGCAGCTCAGGTATGGAAAGTCAGGGTTCTGAACAAGACCTGATCCTTGGATGCCAAGTGACAGGGAGCTTGGGGCAAGAAGTGACATGACACTGCTGAGTCCTGTGTCTGTCTGGGACCAGTACTATGGCCACAGTACAAAAGTCAAATGTCAAGAGGAGTGGGGAAAGGTCCTCCCAGTTCTCTGCAGTGGTACCTTCTGCAGCCTCACACAGTTGAGCAGTATCAGAGCTGGGAAAGCCTTGACAAGTTCCCTTGTGCTGGGTGGCTGGAGCCTGGGACAGCAGCAGCATCGGCTGGGGCAGAGGGACGGTGTCAGCAGGACCAAGGAAGGCGTGGGAGAGCACAGCTGAGGGTCAGGGTGCTGGTAAGGGAAAAAGACCGACAGAATCCTCCCCTCCTGTTCTGCACAGGCAGAGCCAGGCTTCCCTGCAAAGGTGCCAGGAGGAGATGTCCACCCTGGAAGATGAAGCCCACAGGGAGGCAGAAGAGAAGGCTCTGCTGAGAGAGGCTCTGGAGAGGATGCAGCTCCAGCTGGACCAGGAGAAGAGGCTGCGGCAAGCGGCCAAACGGCGCAAGGTGAGAAGGCAACACCCAACTCCTGCTCTTTGTACAACAGCCAGCTCCACCTGTTGGGAGCCATTCAGAGTGGTCAGTCAGACCATCCCAAGAGGCTGGATGTTCCAGGCCCCCAGCGCTCAGCTGCAGCATTGTGGCCAAATCCCTTGATGAAGTTGGAGGAGGCGCAGACACCTGTAGGGATGGGTTTGCACTGTGTATGAGGGAGAGGGAGAAGAGCAGGTCATGCTGAGCTCTTGTAGTCAGCGCTGTGTCTGTTGTCTCTGTTCTGCAGCCTGGAGCCACAAAGACTCTGCTCAGGCAAGCCGAAGGCCAAGGAGTGCATGGCAGATGCTGTCAAATTGGGAAGCTCATAGGAGCAGCACCACGGGGACCTTCACTAGGTGGTGGTCTGCAGTAGGAACAGTCATCACTGCACACTCTGTGAGGGTGGAGGTGGCATGAGGTGAGGGTGCATTTTGAGGAGCTCCAGTTTGTATCCCGAAGCTCCTGGGCACACTGGTGTGACTGTACAGTGCAGGACCTTATCTTCCCATAGTCCATATCCCATAGAGTGTGGCGGGACTTATGGCAGTGGAAAAGGTGGTGAGGATATATCCAGTGTACACGTATGTGTATTTGTGTGTGTGAATACAGCCTAGTGATGTGTGAAATCAGTTGTGGGGGGTGTGTCCTGTCCTTGCTGAAGTGGCCTCAAGCACATGAAGCCAACATGGCTTGAAATAGCCCTTGTAACTCCTATGTCCTGCAGTTTCCATCACGTCGTGGGGAAACTGGAACATAAGACACAATGTAGTACAGAATTCTGGAGTTCCTGGAACACCCCAGGAATGCTGAACCTGCCACCTGGGAACGGGGAAGAAGAGGATCTATGTCAGCCATTCCAGTACTGCAGCAGCATGAGGACAAGCTGGGGAGATGAGAGCGATGTGCTGGGGGGGTGGGGTGGGGTGATGGCACAGGCTCACTTACTGATTCTTACCCTCAGCAAAGGGGAGAGCAGGCCCTGGATTTTGGGGAACAGCAGTGTTTTGGGGAGGGGGTCCCTGCAGGCAATAGGCAGCTCCAGCACATCATCCCTGCAGTTGCTCTGCCTCAGCACCGCTCGGGGCAGTCCATGTGCCGAGTCCTCTGCATACCTCTTCAGCTGAGGATAATTTGGATGTGAGCAAAACCCCACTGTGATTTCTTGGTCTTTATTTTTTAATAGGTTGAAAAAGGTCTGGAAGCAACACAGAGGGCTGCAGCAGGCTGATGCAGGGCTGCATCGTCTCTGGGCATGCATGTGTGCACAGTGGCTGATCCCTAGTGGGGCTCTGGGCATTGGTGTGGCCTGGTTTTCCTGCTCCCTGTGCCAGGAGAAGCTGGATGCTTCCCTGTCTGAATGCCTGGGTTTACTCTGGGGCAAAGCATGACCTTGACCGATGCTTGAGTAGGTTAAAGGTGCTGCCGTGGGCATCCTCTGCAGGTGTATCTGGAGATGTTGGGCTGCTCTATGACTCTGTGTGTCCTCTCCATGCCACCCTTGGCAAACTCTGGGTCAGGAATGGACGGAGATGGCAAGAGCACAGGTGGTTGTGAGTGCACCAGACTCCCCGTACTCGAGCCTGTAGACTCACAGAATCATGGGCTGGTTTGGGTTGAAAGGAATCCTCAAAATGGTCCGGGGGATCCCACCGGGGTATGGTGATGCCGGGCCTTAAAGACCATCCCAGGCTGGTCCCACCGGGGGACTGATGAGCCGTGCCGATGCTGCCGGTGGAGGGGAGGGGGTCTGAAGGGACGGTGATGGCTGATGGAGGGCGGCGGGGAGGGGACCCTCGGGGCCGGTGCGGGAGCCGGGCGGGCGGGGCGGCCCGGGCGGACGGGATGTGCTGACGGGGGCGGGCAGCCCGAGCTCCCCGGGGCGGGCGCCGGAGCC